TATCTCACAAATGTTAAGGGATAACATTAATGATGCTGATAAAAACCTTGAGATGCACACAGCATTTAAACAGATGTTCCTCTTTTCCTGTGTTTTTCTAGCCTGAACATAGTCGGTCAAAGCATGTTAGACCTGATAATATCTCAAAGACAGCTTCTAATTGACATTCTCTCTCCTTGGGTCTTTGCATATTTGGAGGGGAAGAAATGTGGACTGTTAGGATGCTGCTGTGTATTTAAATAATACTTATATCCAAAGTAAACATCAATTAGTCATACCGGTTATACTAGGAAGTAAAGGCATGAGAAGTTTTATGCAGAAGGCTGATATATCAGAGGGGTATTCAACAGGGAGGCTTAGTTCAAAATTCATGGTCATTCCTACAAAGATGGTGTCCGCCAATGAATAAATTTACGGAGAAGCACCAGGAAATGCTTTTTCTTAAGTACAGGATTTCTGAATGATATCTAGAATATCCAGAGAAAAGAACTGGGGAAACAATGGTAAACTCTGATACTACACACTCACAAACACTTTAGAGACAAAATGTGAAGTCTGAGTAACTAAAATCCACTTCTACTTCTTTGTTAAAGACTCAAAATGAATTTCTAAGTTGTAGGTCACATACCCTCTGAGGTTTAAGTGAGTCCTTAGGACTATTTGATGGATTCTAAAATAGTTCCCTAAGACATTTTTGATGAGTCATGACGTAGGAGTCAGTATTTGCATCACCACTATAATGGGAATTGATCACATATTAATCAAATGCTTGTTTTGCAGCTGATTGGCCGTCAGCACTTTACATGCCGTCTGCTCTTGAGCCCTCCCCACACATCCATCAAGTAGAAAGAGTATGGTGTGACCTCTGTTTCCTGGCGAGAAAATGAGTCAGGTTTGCGGTAAGTTCTAACAGCTGGACATTAAGTGAATGTCGGGAGACGCAGCCCTCGCTCTATCCTAAGCGTGCTGGATGTTAAGTGAATGTCGGGAGATGCAGCCCTCGCTCTATCCTAAGCGTGCTGGATGTTAAGTGAATGTCGGGAGATGCAGCCCTCGCTCTCTCCTAAGCATGCTGCCGTCGACCTCGCTCTCTCCTAAGCATGCTGCCGTCGACCTTCCTTGGGGTTTGCATGTGCATGACTGTAGTGAGAAGCAATGCTGAAATGAAGAAACTAGACTTTGTGCCACCTGACAAAGCAAAAGTATTCACCACACACCAACAAGGCAAATGTCCGACCTGGGCCATCCCCTCTTCAGCAAGCTAATGAGCAGCTAGCGGCAGCCTGGCTCTAGTCACACACCCTAAAATCCAGTTCTTGTTCCGTCCATTCTCTTCAGCCTATGCCGCTCACACATTCAGGCACCATGGTGCTTTCACTGTGGAAGGGGTGCAGGTCAATGTCTAGAAGGACTGATTTGGATTTGCAGGGTTTCTAAAGCAATGTGAACTTTTCTCCGTTGTCGTAAACTCGACTTACTATTTCTCCTTAGGGTTCACTTGGTTCACTTTGTCTTTAAAAACACTGGGGCCTTTCCCCTGTGTCTTCTATACACTTTCCAGAGTTCCGTTTTCATGTTTTCGCCTGTCAAATTCAATAGCTTTACTTGAAAGTAGTATTTTGCTCACATTTTAGTGCCCTTATTCTTGGTCTGTGTTTATTCTGGTAGCCTTCTCATATGCAGAGGAAAATAACCAGAATATGCAACTCATTGTATCAAGATAGAGGGATAAATATAAACATGCATCTATCTGGGATTCTTAAGCCTCATAAATCTCTAGATTTTTAAAAATAAAGGTGTCTTAAGTTTTATCTTATTTTTTGAGAATTTCACACATAAACACACTGTACGTACATCTATTTTTTTAACCCATCAAGTATAAGCAATGCTGCCCATCTATTACAGGGTTGTGGACTTCCACTGACAACCTAGTAGATGCCGAACTCTTAAAGAAAATACAATTCTCCATCTCCCAGAAGCTATCGAGTGCCAATAGCTCTTTAGATAGGGATGGGACTTTGGGCCTGCTTCCCCCATCTATGCTAGAATTTTTACTGGCTGGATTTTTACAGGTCTTAAGAATTTTGTCTTAACTGCTACGAATTCATATGGGCAATTTCCTTGTGTCTAGAAAACACTTTCCAATATATTCATCCATAGCCTCTGGCTCTTCCAACTTTTCTGACCCCATTCCATAAAGACCCATGAGCCTTGGGAGAAGGGTGTGTGATGTAAATGCCATGTTGAGGGCTGAATGTTTGTATTCTCTGCACATTGACCACTGCGGTTCTCCTTCTCCCAGTGTTAATTGTTATTTACTACAAAAAGACATTTCTCTGATGAGGGTTGACAGAGGTGTGACAAGTCATGAGGAATCAGTTTAATACTATGTTCACTTTGCACAATAACAGCTTTACATCCCCCTCCAGGACCTAGGACCCAACTAGCCACAGATTTGTGCCCAGATCTTGACGTCAGGTATTGGTTTTAATTTGCGGAGCAGACCGTAACTCCAATCAGCAGAGAGTGATTGGTTACTCCCATGGCATCTGTATCATCATTGCCATGATGAGCTCATCTGGCTCAGCTGGTCATTGCTTAGTTAACAGGGTTCACAAACAGGTAAGAATGGTGTTTACTTTCCTCCTCCAGGACCATACATAGCACCTTCAGGAACTAGGACGACGCTGATTTGCTGTGATCTTTAAACATTATCAGATTAGATAAACGGAGGCTTTGTCATGAGTTAAGGATGTTGAAGCATGATGACATGAATAGTTGGTATTATAAAAAACTACTTGCCAATTTGAGCACTAAAGACAAGGAAGGAACTTGAAGCAGAAAATGTCAGGAGTGAGAATTTGACAGTGAAGTGCAAGGCATTATTTGTCTCCATATATAGGACCAGCACTTGAAGCATGATAACAGTAAGATGTACATTTTGCCTTTAAGGCACTTTCAGTCTAGCTGGAGAAAGTAAGCCCACAAGATCTATATAGAAATTGAATTGTTATATTATGTGGTATAGATAAGACCAGCAGTTTTCAACCTGTGGGTCACAATCACCAAAAGATCGTCACACAGATTTTTACATTATTATTTATAACAGTAGCAAGATTACAGGTATAAAGTAGCAACAGAAATAATTTATGGTTGGGAGTCACCACAACATGCGGAAACAGTCCCAGCATTAGGAAGGCTAAGAACTACAGTAGAATTCTCTAGGAAGTACAAGGAGAAATGAATGAGAAAAGAGGAGAGGGTTCAAAGATGGAGACTTGGATGTCTTAACAGCTATTTCCACTGATGAAGGTTTGTAAGGATATGGTTACTGTGAAATTAGTCAATTTTTTTTTGTTTTTGTTTTCAGCACATTGTGACTCTAAGGTATAGATGTCTAAAAAGAAGATTTGGACTCCATGTGTGGCCATGATCCATACAAAACATGGTAGTTTCATTTCTTTATTTGTAAGAGCAAATCATTGGAGATTGTTTGATACCTGCCCCAACTCATGATGGGTTTGGATCATCGGATAATAGCTGGTGTCACCTACAAGCATGTCATATGCCAGTTTTTGAATAATTACTGAAGTAATAGAATTTCACAAACTCTTCAGTTGATCTGTAGTGACTAATATTATTGCCCAAGGAAACACCAATGAAGGGAGGCATATCATTCATGTTTGGGGCAAGGAATAAACTAGACTGCAGTGCATTGAAATGGTTTGACTTGTTCTTCATCCTTCTCAAATTTTATATTTAATTACAAATTTTCTAAATGAACATTGGGGAATAGATTAGCCAGTTATGTCTTAGAGGTGTCAAAGAGTGACATTTGGTCTTTTTTAGTCTTGCCAAATTCTGCTCTCAAGAGTAAGGACTTGCTCTATTCTTGGAAACATTCCCAAATAACCACTACTGGTATCTATGTTATAAGACAAGAGTATTGAAACTGAAATGAATGGATTAGCTACAAGGAATATATCAAAAGAATTAGAACAAAAGAGTGTAGGAATTTTAGCTCCAGTTCTGACAATTCAACCTTACTTTTCTTGAAGACAAATTACTTGCAATATTGAACATTATCATATGGAAAATGTCAGCAATCAGCATTCTTCTGTTTCTATTCTCTCTCTCTCTCTCTCTCTCTCTCTCTCTCTCTCTCTCATGCATGTGTGTGAGCATATGTGTGTGTATATGTGTCCATGTTTGATGTCATTGTCATGTAGTGAACAATACATGAACCAGAACAGACACTTAAGTCTGAATAACCTCTACATTTGGGGCAATAAGTAGTCTATAATCAGGCTCAACATGGAGTCACCTTTATAGTTACATGACATATGATGCTGTTGCTTGTATTTGTCTTCTGAATTTATAGCTAGGGAAAGTAGATGCTAAATGGTAACATCTTTATTGTGAGAGTTTTAAAGTTATCAATATCAGTGGGATTTTTTTTTGACAACAAGTAGCCTTTAGCTCTCCTGGAACTGAAGGTCTGTATTAACTTTATGATCTCTTGAGAAGACAGCATCTTAACCACCATTGTCCATTAGGATAGCATGTAGAAATTATTGTACAAGGATACAGAAGTCATTAACCTAGCTAATACTACATCTGTTTTATGAATAGTCTATGAATGCTTACAGTTATATACATTAGCTTCCTTAAGTTGCACTTTCCCCTTTTATTTACTTAATAGAGTTGTATGTATTGTAAAGAATAACTAAAAAGAATAAAGTAACAAATCAAAAGAGAAGACTATATGTATAAAGTGTGGGAAGAGGTGCATTGTATGTTTTCTGTCCACATTAAAGAGATGATATGCTAGACAGTTCCTGGAACATAGCAAGAACGTTGATATATTGTTTCTGGTTGATTGATAGACTCAGGAAATGGTTGCCCTTCCCAAGAGTGCACATAGGATGTGAAAAGTCAACAAAGTCTGAAAGGGCAGCTTGTGTTATAACACTGAAAAGTCCCTCAGCACCCTTCCTGCTCCCGGCTCACTCGATAAGGGCTACAGCACAATGAAGCATCTGGAGGTAAGAATAAAGAAGCCGCTGAGAAGTTCAAAGCAGGAAAGAAAGATGGGGTCTTAGTGAGGAATGAGAGCAGGGCTTAGAGCCAAAAGAAAATAGTGCTTTTGGTGAAAGTGATGTGATCTGAGATTTGAGCATGGGGCTGTGTTGAGTGTATGCTGCTTTTCATATAGAGAGAGGCAGGCAGATAGTCAGACTTTACATGCCATTGGATTCTCCAGTGAATATTCCATGTTCCCTGTTGATACTAAGATGAGGGTTGTGGAGCTTTTCATCATTGCCAGCTCACTTTTAGAGCAGCTGGAACTCAGAGGAGGCAAAAAACACAAGTGCCCCTCTCTTGACTCTAGAATGTTTCACTCTGACTGTTTCGTTTCTTACAATTACAAAATAAAACCTAATTCACTTGGTTAGAGCAGGGTTTTTTTTTTCTGCCAGTCCTATAATTGCTGGATGATTTGAAAGGCTGGGTAACAGCTTTTATGTGTCTGCTTCTTATAAAAATGATCTCCACTGATGCCCTATTGCTACGGTTAAATGAGACCAGAGCTTTATTTCTGAGTTTATAATGAGATTTGTTTCTAAGTTCATACAATTTCTTTTATGCTTAGCATGACAGGACTTTCAGAGAAGATGCCTGTGTTTAAATTCAAAAGCATATGCCACCAACAATACAGTTCCCCAGGCTTTGTGTGTATGTGTATTCACAGGGCTTGGTGGAAAAGCACAGGGCATGAGAAAGGACCAACTGAAGCCAAGTGATAATAAAGAGTCTGTGGAATACCTTGAATATTGCTAGAGCACTAAGCAGCATCTCTCCCTTGTAACATAATAACTTGTGTCTCCTATGTACTCAAAAACTACTTGATAAGGGAAATCTATAGAGACAGTTGAACCAAGCTCATGGCAACTCACAGACTCTAGTCCAACAACTGTGGAACCTGCGTGGGACAGAACTAGACCCTTGCCTGTGGAAGACAGTTGCGTAGCTTGGTCTATTTGAGGGGCCCCTGGCAATGGGACCAGGACCTATCCCTGGTGCGTGAGCTAGCTTTTTGAAGCCCATTCCCTATGATGGAATGCCTTGCTCAACCTTGATGCAAAGGGAAGTGGGCTTGGTCCTGCTTTAACTTAATGTTCCGGGTTTTGTTGACTCCTGAGACCTTACCCTTTGGGAGGAATGGATGGGGGGTAGGCTAGGGGGAGCTAAAAGGGAGCGGGAGGAGGGGAGGGAGGGGGAAGTGTGGTTGGAAAGTAAAGTGCATAATAATAAATAAATTAAAATGAACTACTTGATAAAAGTTATGTCTTATATTTTCTAGTCTTACCTAACTCGTGACATCTTCAAAAAACTATCTGGTGAGTGAATCATGTCTGTTGATTTTGTCAGCTCCATACAAAGATAAGTCTCTGGTCATATGGTGTTAATGTTATGAAGGGAGACAGATAATAAAAGGAGCTAAATCTACGGTGTGAAGGAGGCAGTGGCTTCTACTTTCTCAGAAGCGCTTTGAGGCAAAGTTTGAACAACTCCTACAAATTCAGCCTTTGTACCTGGCAACCATCCAACTTTCTGTGCATCTTTTCCTAATTAGGACCCACTATCAGTTACACAGCATGCGTTCCTCAACAACTCAGCCCCGGTTTTGTCATCTGGAGGACAAAGAGTGCCTGGTGTCTTTCAGCACTTTAGCACAATTCTGGATGTAGCTGTTCCTTTGTCTAGTATGTTGGTGTAATTTTGTTATTCGATAGTTTTGACAAACACTGGTTTGTGAAAGAAAGCATCCCGGAAGGAAAATCCGATTGTAAGTTTTCATTCCCACTGTGTTCCGAGGATCCCAATGGAAGGAAAGATAGCAGAGTCAGTGAGGGGTTACTGCATTTTAAACTCTGAGAGGCGAAAGCCCTGCAGACAGAAACCATCAGGAGGGCACACCACAAAACCATTCCAGAAGAACCTCAGCACACTCTAAACCATCCACAGACGCAAAGGCCCTTCCCATGCTGACAATCACACTTGCTGACGGCATTCCATTTTGTGAGGCAGACTTATATAGTGTGTGAGGTTATTAGTGTCTGGAAAATGATGCCAGTGAAAAACTTGCCAGTTTGGCTCTTTTAAAGAAATTCAGACCTAAATTTATCTCCAAGTCAATCATTTTTAGTAGGTTTAAGAACTGAACTGTGTATGGGCAAACCTTAAAACATAGAGGCTCTCACCTACACTATGGAGAAATCATAAGAATAAAATACAACTATGGTCAAAATCAAAGAAGAACCATGAATCTCAGGACGCAGATCCCCTTGTGCCACTTGTAATAATCACCTTTGTGGGTTCTCTGCAGGTTACAGTGATTTGGAGCATTCTGTCTGCTTGACATCATCTCTGCTTTTTCCCTGTGGCTAGGAGTGGAGAAACTGCTGCCACATGCTGCTTAGTTGTTCTCTTTTTGTCATAAAATTCCTGACCAAAACGATTCTGCTCACAGTTCCAGGGTAGAGTCTTTGGGAAGCCGTGAAAGCAGGGGCTTGTGGTGGCTGATCACACTGCATCCAGTCAGGAAGTGGGGAGAGATCCATGCTGCCGGTCACCTCAGCTTTTATTCAGTCCAGCACTTCGACTGGGTCGCCTCAGCACACCCAGGTTCACCTTTCCTAATGATTTTTGGTTCTGTCAAGCTGATCATTAATAGGAAGCATACGGCCTGTTATGATAGTCATGGTCGAGACCTTCCAGAGAAGACTCTGATGCTAGAGAAGCCGAACTCTATGTGAAGCGAGGTGGAGACGGGGACATTGGTAGCAGGGAAATGTGTTGACATGAGACAAGAGTGGGAGATCAGCTTACATGTGAGGAACACCTTGGGTATGGGTCTTTCAAAGCCACGGAACCATGTCCAATAGCTAGAGTAGAGGAGACCCACACTGCTGTGAACACTTAGGGGGTGGGGTGCCCTAGTCTCAAAATTAGCTTCAGTGTGACAAAATTTATAATTCTGAACATATTTCCTCAAAGGAGGTAACCATTGGAGTCGGTATATGTATGTATTCCCCCTCGTGTGTGTGTGTGTGTGTGTGTGTGTGTGTGTGTGTATGTGTGTGTGTGTGTGTGTGACAAGTGAAAGCACTTATCTGTGAATGAATGAGTGAGCAGTGATGGATTTCCCATGGGAGTCAAGTTCTCTTATCTTAGGATAACTTCACATGGTCAATCCATGTCTACCCTCCTTTGTCATATAGTCGTACATAGAAGTATAGTACAGATAGTTGCACAGGGAATTACTTGAGGTTTCAATAACTGATTTTAAAATGGGATCTTACAAACACTAGTAATAGCAATAGCTGTCACTTGAATCCTTGCTAAGTCATATATTCTGATAAGTCCTGACCAGCATCAGCATTTTGTGCTCACCAAGAGACAATGAGGTCAGGATAGAAGCTCAGACTGTTAACTCGTGCTGAAAACCATACAGCTAGTAACAGGAAGGGCGGGGCGGGGGGGGGATTGTATCCTGTAGCCCGAAATTGAGGTATGCATTCTTAATTCCGAATTACCTTATGAATACAATCAAAAAGTGCTTTAATGTTTTTGAGCTATGTACTCATTTTAGGATATGAAGTGATGAATCCCCTCCAGAGGCCATTCAAACCTGAACTTTGAAATATTATTTCCAGGGATGCACATGGATATAAATACTGCCAATCCCAGCCCCTGCTGTGAACCCCATATGTACCCATGTAAACAACAGACAGAAAAAGACAGGACATTCTATAATGTCACGTAGAAAAAACAGAAATATGAAAATTACAGTAAAAGCATTTCTGAATGGCTCACCACAGAGATAAACATGCAAGAGAAAAATGCTGAGACAATGAATTTTTTAGAGCAGTTACATGTTCTGAAATGAAAACACCATGGAGTTTACCACGGCAGGACTTTAAACATGGCAAGGCTTAAACTTTAAACATTAGCAGCGTTAGATCGGATGCTTCTTTTCTCACTGACCTTCCTGTATCCCTTCATCCTATATGTTACACATTTGTCTTCCTTCTTTAAAAGCCCGTAAGTATGAGCTTTATACCCACTACATACAAGAAACTACACTGGATCACTCTGACATGCTGGAGTAGAGGGAAGAGGAGGGAGGGAAGGAAAACGCAGAATAAAAAGGACACTAAAGTTTCTGTCTGCACCTCACCTCATATTTTAACAGTAGGTGGCAAAGGAAACCATACGTAAAAGGTAAAATACATAGTATATTACAAATTAATAAATGGTATTGAAATAAAATAGGGCAAAATTGGGAATGCTAGTTGTGTTTCAATATAAGTTGGAGTCTTTTTTCTCTCTAAGTTAAAATCTGATAGAGAATTAGGTCACTATTTTAATCTGAATATCATCTAGCAGATGGAAGGCTGGCCCGTGAGATAAGGGAGCACAGCCCTAGACCATCCCACAGGGACTTCTGGAGGTGTGTTAGCCATCCGCAGGTGTTCTGATTTGTACAGGTGGGGAAACCCTTTATTCCTTAATACACTATGAGTCATAGGAAAAGAGCACAGCTTTGGTGAAGACAGATTCTTTGTACTAAGGGACGCTCCTGAAGTGGGACATACTGTGAGCCCCCTGAATCTAAGATTCCAGCCCATTAGAAAAGATGCCACGTAGGAGACACCAGGGGTCCTGGCTGGCACACAAGAACACTGAATGTTGAGAAGAGAGAATGCAGCTACTTGCTCGCTCCTTCCGGTATAGATACAAAGACAACATAGAGTATTAACAGTACTGCTCAGCCGACTCCTCGATGATTTGGACTGGTCTGGAGGTACTTCTTCTGGACCTACCCTACAACTTGGATTCTAGAGCTATCTCACCCTCCCTACACACACTAGTCATCCCTGCCAGTACTAACATCGCCCCAGCCTAAAGCACAGTCTCTTTTATACTGCTATAACAAGGACATGCGGGGTGCATACTTAACAAACAAATGGCATCTATTTTGACTCATGGCTTTGGAAGCTATAACAGTCAGGTTAAGCAGCCGTATCTGCTGAGGGTACCAAAATACGGCGACTGGAATTACAGAATGAGAGCTTGTGCAAGAGCAGAAAAGCCCAGGAATGTTAGGTACTAATGTAGTCCCATGAAACCAAACCCACTCTCAAGAGGCTGGTATCAATCACTTCTCAAGAAGCTCTATGACCTAATTTTGCTCACAAGTCCTTCATCTTAACCACGAAAGATCCCAAGCCTCCAGAACATGGGCCTGCCGATGGCAAGCCATCTCCATTCAAACCATCACCATGTCCCTACACTGTTATTTCTTCTGACACATGGACATATGGGGTCTGTAGTTTAGCAATCCCAGCAGAAGAGAAGATAGGGTCCGAGGAGGTAAACTTCCCAGTGGTCATTTGGTCTCCCTTTCTACTTTGAATCAAGGCTTCCTTCTGGGCTGATGACATCTACGCTGGCCAAAACCACCAGCTTCTGGTTGACTGGTTTGTTTCCAGGCCCTCCCTGCACGATTCCAGCCTTCAATGGGAGGAATGAGCCAGCTTATCCACAAAGCAATTTTGATTGTCAGGATCAATTATCTCCTTGACTCTTCCTCATTTTCTAAGCTTGGTTCTAGATGACTAAGGAAAGACTCCCAATGCAAGTATACTTTGCTAGAAAGTACGATATTCTACAACCAAATTTGAAAAGTAGAAGGAATATGGTCTTTTGATGGCTCTGGAACCCTCCTAAATTAAAGGTAGTTTGTACTTAGATAGCCACAGCTAATTGCTTTGTAATTATATCTCGTACACTAAAAGTAAATTAGGAGACTTAGTTGGTCCCTGGGGCTCCCATTTTTTATTGGTTTCAGCTCGGAGCTGAAGGCTAAACGTTACTCCCTGCTGGCCAATGAATTTACCAACTGGAAAAGCTATTAACTCATATCTCTAATACCCCAGTTCTCCCTACGCCTCCAGCTCCTTTCTCTCTGCTTTCTGGCTAAATTCTTTCTAACGAGGAGAAGTCGGGTTTCCCACAAGCTCTAAAGTTTCTGCAATGGTGCTTCATTGTGCGTTGCACTTGTAATGACATGCTCTGACTGAACCTGATTTTCCAGCTGTTAACAGATTCTCACCACGTGGATAATTGCAAAGGCTACTATATCAACACATTTCCAGAGAGCTTGTCTCCTTGTTGTTCACACATGGTGGGCAAGTAGATGTATGAGTCCCAACAGCACCCCACCGGACCAAGGACATTTTGAGTGCAGACAAGAGTTGCATCATGCCAGTGAAGCCAAAGGGACTGAAGTCATGAGAATACCCCAATGTCAAACCCCGTAAACCTTCTGCCAATTCCCTTCACATCTCTGTCCCAGAAACCGATATCACTACTGTGTCTTAAACTGTGCCCTTCATACTGAGAATCACTTTATCTGTTCTTAAATCTAGACTTCCGAGGACCGAGGCTAACTTACAGCTAAAAGTGAGTGGAACAGCTTCTGCTGAGAGTTCCACTATGTACCTGGTAGCTGACTGTGTCCAGCATCGGACGGACTATGAGTCCACATGAGGAGCACATTCTTCCTACAAATCAAAGCTGTGCTTCAACATGTGCAGAGGAAAACAGCTAAAATCAGCCCTTACCTGGGTTATGAAAAGTATGACTGATTTTCTCTTCCAGAACACATAAGTGTTGGAAAATTTAAATTGCTGAGGAAAAACAGTGTGTTTAAACAAGCTTGTATTTAACTTCAAGTATTCAAGGTAGTTCCTGCTTGAACAGTGTGTCCCTGTGTAAAACAATACAGCTGACGCCAGTGATTTCTGCCTTGGGTACGCTTATATGTTAGGTATGGAAAACTTTTCTTTAAAATTCTAAAAATGCCATTATTTTAAGGAGATGCTCTTTGAGGGACATCCTGAAAATCAGCTGAAAGTTTTGAGAGTCTCTGAAAAGTCACCTTAAAACATACTAATATATTAAAAAAGTTTTCATAATCACATTCTTGATATTTACTCTGACTTGCTTTTGGACTGCTCTCTAGTCTCGATTGTTACCCCAGTACTTTTATTTATGTTTCAAAGTTTTCTCCTAGAGGAGACTAGAGATAAGAAACACAGCGAACCCTGACCCATTTCTATTTGTTCTCACTCTGATAAGAATGGACAACGTTGTCTTTGTCCCCTATTTGCCTTCAATGGATGGTGGTGTCCCACTGAAAGAAACTTATTTCCAACATTTACACCCGAAGAATCATTAGCCAGACCAGCCAGTTTGCTAGGTGCGCTTCTACTTCCTATGGATAAATGATCCCTCAACCTTCCAAATATTACATGCTCAACTCCTCCCATGTTCCAGACGTTGACAACATTTCAGGCTGCTCACGGCCTTGACTGATAGTGCCTGTGAGACTTTCTGGTTCTGGTAGGACCTTAATTCCAGGCAACAAAATTCTGTAATTATTTAGCAAATCCATCTCAAATCTGCTCACATAAAACAACATTCAGCTGTCTTTGCTCAGAATCTTATTTTGTTTTGGTTATTGGAATGACTCAAATGAGCAAATCCACGGGAACCCTTAGTTGTAATCAGTATTGGCCAGATCTCCAGCCACAGGAGAGTCTGTTAGACTCCATGTCCACAGCTTACTCTCATGGCTAGCGTTCTAAAAATCCATCTCATTGTCAGCCAGGATCACCCATCATAATCTCTATGCAGAGCTTAGTTCCTTGTGTCATCGCAGCTTCTGGTACCTGTACTTCTACATGATGACTCAGGACCCCATGTTATCTCCTTTGCTGGCAGTTGAGAAGTACTAGAGAATCATATGTTTTCCTTACCCTCTGTTGTCAATATAATTATAAAGTCACTCTTGTGACAGTGCCGACCTGTAGATGTCCCACAGATACTTGTGGAAGCCATGAACTTGGGTAAGGAAAAAAGGAAGTCTATGGATCATGATAAACTAGGAAGCGCTGAGGTCTCGTATCTTTGAGATCAAGAAGACAGATCACACTGCTGTTTTCCACTATGGCGACCTTATATGAATTAAGCATGTATTTGTCTAAAAGTAACAGCCAACCCTGGTGTTTTCTTGGTACATTTTAAATGCTATGATCAATATATAGTGTTCCATTGTTAGATATTTTGTTTATATTAAAAATAAACAGATTCCTAAACTAAAATACATGGCATTATAACCTTGTAGAAGCCTCATGATATGTGATGTTAAAGCATCAAGGATGAATCTGTACGGATCAGCCACAAATCAGGTGGATATATTTCTTTATTCTGTGTTGAGTATAAAACAATAATGTGAAGAAGAGCAATAAGAATATTTTTATGCTAGGACTAATTGCCTAGACTCTAAGCTAGGGTACACTTCACTGAGTGTACATTAAAATTATCATTCAAATTCATAAACTGGACAAATGCTTGTAAAAAGAAGGCTTTATTACTGTTTCTTAACTCTCTTACCCAACTGGTTACTATATTTCTATGTGGAAATATCTACTGAGAAGCTTCTGGCTTCATGTTTAAACTTCTAAAACAAAAACTTTCTGTGATGCATGTATAGCGAAGCCAAGAAGTCCATCTGCCAGAAAGAATTTCGTCCTTTAAATACCTTGTTATGGCAGCAAACACAACACAATGAGATTTGTTTAGAATGTCACTCTTCCATCTCTGGGCTAAAAGGATTAGGTCTAAATTGAACATCATTACGAAAGACCATGCATAAAAATGTTTGCTTTTTTTGTCCTTAAGCACTTGATGCTGTTTAAACACCCCTTCCATTACTTGTACTAATGAAATTCAAAGAGTCATAAGCAGTAGCTTTTAAAAAGTATTTTAGTTTATGTGGCTATGTCTTTAACACACACACACACACGCAAAGCAGCGAGGGTTCAGAAAGAATTGTTTGTTGGACATGCCACGAATTGAGGAAAGGTGGTTGAAAAATTGGGATTTCAGAGTGAATTAAAATCTAATTTAAATTTCTATGGTGGATAACTTTGACCTTAGGAAATTTACTTCACCTGTCTATGGCATGCTGTCCTCATTTGTAGCAAAGGATAAAAATATTGACCACATATGGTTGCTTCAAGGGTTAAATAAGACAGCTCATGCAGTTCACCTGTCAGATCTTGATATAAATTCACAGTTCAAAAGTGAAGTGAGAGTGAACACACATTTTAATGCGTTCTGTGTATTTTTGTGTGTGTGAGAGAGAAAAGGGAACGAAGGAGAGAATGTTTCTGAGCATATAGAAAATATTATTGGAAGTGAAGCATAGAAGTGATGGCTATGATTTCTCGATGCTGATCCTTGTCTTTGAAGACTGAAAGCAGGACGAAGCCAGAGTGCAATGGTAGGAGGCATGTGCGAGTAGTTACTATTTTAATAAAGTCATCTCTGGCACACAGCACACAGCACCACAGCAGAAAGTCAGAAACAGGCTTTCCCCTCTGGTCCCAACTCAATTTGTGCAGTGTGTGTGTGTTTGTGCATGTGTGTATGTGCATACATGTGCGTGATTGTGTGTGTGGGTGTGGGTGTGCGTGTGTGCAGCAGAAGACAACCATGAGTGTACCTCCTCAAGTTCTAGCCCCCCTGCTATTTGAGACAGGTTTCCACTGGTCTGGAGCTCACTCAGTTAGGCCAGGTTGGCTGGTTACTGTGCTCCAGGAATCTGTTTCCCCGAGCTGTGGTTGCAGGTGTGCTGTCATGCCTGGCTTTGTTGCATGAGTTCAGGGGATCAAGCTCAGGTCCTCTGATCACACAGCAAGCGCTTGGCTGTCTGAGTTGCTCTCTTAGGGACTCTCTAACGCTTTTATGCATCTCATGGCATTTGAAGGAAAAATATCTGATTTTTGAGCCTGCCTAAAGGTTCAATATCTCACCATTATTAAGTAGAACAATTATTTCTATTACTAAAGGCTGGTTTCTATCATAGTTTTGTTCAAGCAACAGTAACATAGTTTAGTTGTGTCTGTAAAAAATGGGTCATAAATGAAAAATCTCTGTGTTCTTTGAAAGGCTTTCACAAAGACTGATTTTTATTTTGCCTTAATTCTGTTGTACGTGAAAGCAATTCTTTTAATACTATGCACATTGCCATTTAAAATATTACTTATGAAATCTATGTACCTTGATAAATGCTTCCTGTTTTTCATCCCCCAAGGTAAATGTGACACAATTAGTAGTTCTCAGTGGGGTTAAACAATAACTCCCCAAGCTTTCCTCTGTGAAGACGAGAACTCAACATGCCTGGAAGCATTATAGCACTGGATGGGGCTCCCTTACTCTGACCTTTCCCCAGAAGGACAAACAGAAATTTTTAAAAATTCTTAAGTGTTGTGCTTTTGTTTCTAGTACTGAATAATTCTTCTTTATGCCTACATTTAGCATATGATACTTGGTTCCCTTGTTGTAGCTTTGGGACTAGAATATAACCCAAGGCCTCACACACCCTAGGCAAGTGCTCTACCACAGAGCTATGTGTCCATGTCCAGCCCTGCGTTTCTAATTCTGTGCAACAACAGCTACAGAAGCCAGGCACCATTCTATATGAGAGGGACACCATTAAATAAGCCAGACCAACATCCCTCCATGTGAAACTCACAGTGTAGCAGGGGAGACAGAAAAGAAAGCAATGCCAGTATAAAGGGCATTAATTAATAAGTGACAAAGAAAATTAGGAGGAAAGAAAAACAGTATCAGTGGGAGTGCGCAGAAGTTGAATTTTTGGGGCCATTCCTAAAGGTTTTGAGAAGGTAGTTAGTTATTAAAAGTCATGGAGACTGTAGGAAGTAGAAGCCATTGCACTTAAGGGACAACCAACAGGCCAAGTAAGGTCATCAAGTAAAGCCAAGTAAGGAATGGAATAGTAAGAGGAGCTGCCTGGTTGTCTGCTACAAGGACTCAGGCTTTAACGCCACACTTGAAAACGACATTTCAGATATAGAATCAGAAAGCACTGCAGTTGTGTTTGCAAATGTGTGTCTTTTAAGAAGTTATTCTCATAAGACTTTTTAGAGACTGATTATCTGTTTTTAAGATTTGTTTCTCTGAAAATAGATCCATATCTATCACCATACATAAAAATCAAATCCAAATGCATCAAAGACCTCAACATAAAGCCAGCTACACTGAACCTCATAGAAAAGAAAGTGGGAAGTATACTTGAACGCATTGGCACAGGAAACCACTTCCTAAATATAACTCCAGCAGCACAGACACTAAGAGCAACAATTAATAAATGGGACCTCCTGAAACTGAGAAGCTTCTGTAAAGCAAAGGACATGGTCAACAAGACAAAACAACAGCCTACAGAATTGGAAAAGAGCTTCACTATCCCCACATCAGACAGAGGTTTGATCTCCAAAAGAGACAAAGAACTCAAGAAATTGGTCATCAAAAAAACAAATAATCCAATAAAAAAATGGAGTACAGACCTAAACAGAGAACTCTCAACAGAGGAATCTAAAATGGCTGAAAGACACTTAAAGAAATGTTCAACATCCTTAGTCATCAGAGAAATACAAATCAAAATAACTCTGAGATACCATCTTACACCTGGAAGATTAAGGAAAATGTGGTACAGTTACACAATGGAGTCCTACACAGCAGAATAAAAAACACGACTTCTTGAAATTTGCAGGCAAATGGATGGACCTAAAAAACATCATTTTGAGTGAGGTAACCCAGACCCAGAAAGACAAGTATCAAATGTACTCATTCTTAAGTGGTTTTTGAACATAAAACAAAGAAAACCAGCCTACAAATCACAATCCCAGAGAACCTAGACAACAATAAGGACCCTAAGAGAGACATACATGGATCTAATCTACATGGGAAGTAGAAAAAGACAAGATCTTGTGAGTATATTGGGAACATGGGGACCTTGGGAGAGGGTTGAAGGGGAGGGGAGCAGAGAAAAATGTAGAGCT